GTCCCGCCTATACTTCCTGCCTGGCCACAGGCCAATCAGTGTTTTATTTATTGACCAATCAGGGAACACATTTGCCATACAGAACATCCCACAGCAGTGACCTTTTGGAATTGCTGGCCTGGGCCCACCATTGTTCCAGGGCATTGGGTGAAAGTGCTTGAGAGATGACCAAGGAGGGTCTGTGGCACTCCGCGGGCTGGGCTCTGTGTTTAGGATCTGATGTTGTCCCCATGACTGCTGAAGCCAAGTGATAGCTTTGAGGCCACGTCAGAGTGTGTGTGTGCTGGGGGGTGGGGTGACAGCGTGGAGAAGATGGGTAAAGGAAGAGGACTCTGGGAAGAGCACACACAGAAGGCTGACTGGAAAGCGGGTCACTGCGAAGGAAGGCCTGTAAGGCGGACACCATGGCGGCTGTGCATGTTTGTGCACACCACACTATGGGACCTGTGTGGTTCTGCTCAAGCACTCTCAAACACTGCTTCCTTATGAGGGGCAGGTGCTGTCTCCTCTTTCCCAGGAGAAAGCTGAGGCGGGGAGGGCAAAGAGACTCACACAAGAGCACCTGACTGGCAAGAGGCAGAGGCGGGCCTGGAGGTGACGGGTTTCAACTTGCTGGCCAAGACCTGGGACGTGTGAGTGGACCGCTGTGAACAAGAGGATGGGCTCCCTGGAGGAAGGGAGGAGTGTGAGCACCGAACTGCATTGTGGGATATCTGTGGGGACCATGCTGAGAGCAGGAATGTGGAAGAGGGGCTTCTGTGAGCTGTTTGAGGAGGCATGAGTCCAGAAGGAGAGACTGAGGAGTCAGGACAGACAGACAAATGGACACTGAAGACCACAAGCCAGACCCAAAGGTCCTGGCTTACCTTACCTGAAAGGGCTTTGGTTAAGGTAACTCCCACCAAGCGGCAGGGAGACGGGTGCAGGGGGAGCGAGCCTCACCGGCTTTTACCCTGGGACTCCCTGTGAAGCAGGGGGCCAGCTCCCCTGAGGTCCCCTGGTCCCTTCTCCACTCTGTCTTGGTAAATCTAAACAAAGACATTGGGAATCAGAACAAGAGCCATCAAAAGCTGTCCCAGCCGATGACAAGTCTCCGCCCCCACCCAACACCCACACCCCCACACCCCCACTCTGGCTTCAATCCAGCAGGGCCTTCTGGTGAGAACCCTCCTGGGGAGTGCAGCCTTCTGGGTGCTTTATTCTGGGGGTGGGGGGAGACAGGGCTGTCAGGCACCTCCTGAGATTTCCTGAGTTCCCCTCCCCCAGAGGGTGCCTTTGTCTTTGTCTACAGAAGAGGCAACTGCAGAGGGTGGGTTTGAAGGCGGCACCCTTGCACCGGGGAGTTCTAAATGAAGGAGGGGTGGCTGGAACAGATGCCCCCTTTGCACCTTTAATGCAAATCCTCAGGAGCCTGAATCAGTTTAGCCTGGGACCAGGCAGCTCAAAGGACTGAGTTAGTTACCTCCTGAGAGATAGTCAGAGAGGGCTTCATGGAGGAGGCAGTCATTGTGCTATGTGAGTTAGGTGAGCAGAGATTTGCCTTAAGCCTGAGGGTAGGAAGGGGTGGGGGTAGGGGTGGTCCTGTGTGAGTGGAGGTGGAGATGCTGGGGAAAACAGAGACTGAATGAAACCAGGGTGCACCCCCCACCCCATGCAAGTCAGATGGTGGAGGCTTGAATACAGGGCTAAGGAAGGCTGAGGGCTGTGAGTTTGGTTTCACAGGCAATGGGAACCACGGAAAGTCTTTGAGCAGGGACATTCCTTGGTAAGGATGATGACCCTGGTCGGGGCGGGGCTGGCAGGTGGTGGTGGAACCCAGCTTTTTCCTAAAGAGGTTCTGTCTAGCGGGAGAAAAAGGCCTGCATGCCATGCAATGCTTAGAAGGTCCACAGTGCTCATCCTGGGCGAGGGACAGAACACCGAGCAAGGGAAGGCATCCCAGGGGCAGCTAGACCACAGAGACTTGGGGAAATAAAATTGCAGGCAAGGATGCAGTCGTGGAGACAGGTGTATGGTCAGTGCTGAGTGGATCTCAGGAGGACCGGGGAGGGGGGAAGGAGCAACATGGACCGGGGCCGAGAACCCACCTCTAGAAAGCAGATCCAGAAAGTATAGGTGGCCTGAGCTCTATGTGGATGGGGGCGGAGGTGCAGGCAGCCAGGAGGGACCCAGCAGTGGGCAGAAAGGAGAATGATGGAAGATTTTCATAAAGGCGGAGGCTGTGATGGTCGCTGAGCCTGAGAGGTCACGGTGAGGCGGGAGGGAGGGTGCCTTGCTAGGACCTCCGGCTTACACTGCCGTCTGGGTCCTGATCCCTAATATTACATTTCCCGATCACCCACTCGTAAATCCTCTTCCTGCCTGGGGCCTGAAGCCCTTGAACAGAGAGCAGTTTGATTTAAAGCCAAGCCTGGCAGCGAAGGGGTGGGGGAAGACCATCCAGAGAAGAGCCGGGTCCTCCCTGGGGCCAACACTGTAATTAAAACGGGGCCATCTCTCTTCCCGAGAACCTTTCTAGAACACAGGGAGCAGGGGCTGATTGCTACCTGCCTCAGTGGCCTGTGGATCGGAGCAGCCGAACCGGCAGGAAAAGGCCAAACTCAGAGCTGTACACACCAGCTGGACCAGCTCCCGGCTACGGTCAGGGAGAGCCTCCCAGCAGGGAGCCCTGTTGTAGGTAGGCCCGTCCCCTGGGCTGTAAGTCTAGAGGTGGATGACCTCCCAGCTCGTTTCTAATTAATACTGTACCGGAAATGAGGCGGGATGCCACTTCCAGAGTCACAAAGACTCACTTCTTTCCTGCTAACCCTCCCTCTCTTGCGGTCTCTGTTCACACACCAAAGAAGCCAGCTGCCGAACCGGGGACACCCACGTGGCAAGGAATGAGGAGTCATCCGGTCAGCCAGGGAAGGGTTTAGGTCCTCTGCGTCACCCACTGACTTAGATGAGGCTTGGAGTCGAGTGGATGGGCCCAGCAGCTGACCCTTCCTCAGCTGAGCCTTCAGAGAGGAACACAGGCCCTGGATAGACGACACCTTGGACTTGAAGAGACCATGAAGCAGAAGGCACAGCTGAGTTACACCGAGTCCTTGGAACAGAAACTGGACCACCATAAATGCATACGGTTCTGAGCCACCAGGTTTGAGGGGCCATTTACTACATAGCAATGGCTAACTGTTCACTCGGAGTCTCCATGTGGACTTCTGAATAAACGGGCTGATAATACTCAGCCCAAAGCATCGAGCAGAGGAGACACAGAGGCAGGAGGAAAGAGCTATATAATCTGTAAAATGCTACGTACGTACTTACGTGGGGTGTGTTTTGTGGCTACGCTTATTCCAGAAACAGGCCAGGGAGAGCCTGGCTTTTATGGCCTTGTACAGGTCGAAGAATCTCTGTGTTCCTCAAGTGTCCTCATCTGTAATTGGGGGCATTGGGAGGACCATAGGGACATTTCAGTGAACTTCTCATTGTGTTTCTGAGGAGGACAGGGAGACAGTTTGGGGAAGGCCAGGGCACAGTGGGAAGAACACAGGACCTGGAGCTAGGTGCCAGGTCTCAGGCGCTGCGGCACCAGCCAGGTGTGGGCAGTTGGGCCAACTCCATTTCTTCCCTTCTCTGACCTCAGTCGAAAATGAACTGAGCCCTACCTGGGGGCTCCCCACCTGCCTGCCTGAGGGGGTACACACAGGAAAGGGCATTCTTGTTGGTGATGGGACAGGGGTGTGCATCCTCAAGGAGCAGCTATGCAGATGAGGAGACAAGATAGGTATACAGAACAGGGCAGAGCCCAAGGGTCCTGGGGAGCAGAGGCCGGGGGGACCACTTGGAAGCCTCCCACTGGGCAGGCTGGATGTGTTCAGGAGACAGTATTGCCTGTTAGAGCTCAGAGTTAGCGACACATTGCGGGGTGGAGGTGGCCATAAGGATGGAAGGCCGGCCGGAGGTTGGGGCTGTAGCTCAGTTTGTAGAGTGCTCACCTAGTATGTGTGCAGCTCTGGTCCAGTCCTCAGCACCGCAGTGGGTGTGGTGGTTTGCACCTGTAATCCAAGCCCCTGGGAAGTGGATGCAGGAAGACCAGGGGCTCAGACCATTCTCGGCCATGAAGGCCATCCTGGAATACATGACATCCTGCCTCAAGAAATTACAATAGACTCTGGTATTGCCTTGAATGCCAAGCAGAACAGTTCCAACTTCCTGCTGAAGACGGGAGGGTCCTAGGAGCCTCAGTAGGATCCTAGCAAACTACTGGACCGCCGTCAGAGCTGGGGCAAGACCCTCTAGACTCTTAGTTCTTGGTGGAGAGGGCCGCCAGAGGCACGAGGCTGCCCCATTCGCTCCTCCTTATGCTGGACGCAGCCCTCACTAACAGACCTTGGACATCTGCTCCGTGATCTCTGTCATGTCTGCTGTGCAGAGGGGCTGGCTGCTGCCCTGACCCCACACAGGACTGTGAGGACCCCCTGAGAAACACAGCGATGCCTCTGACCTGAACTCTCCTGATGCTGCTCAAGCCCCAGGTACCCTCACTGTCTGGGGACCCCACCCCGTTTCCGTGAGCAGTCTGGTCCCCTCTTTGCCCAGCAGCCTCGGACAAAGGCAACACGATTTTCCGCTGTCTGTCTCTCCATTCCCCGGCAGGGTTCTGATTTCTGCTCCGAGCGTCCCCACATTCTTCAAAAGACGTGTTTGGAAACAAGAAATTGCTAGAGAGATGATTCAGGCCTTGGCCTCCGATCGTGTCTGGACATAAGCAGGCCCATCTGTGGAGCCCTGCACTGCCAAGTTCTGTCATCCGGCTCCATATGGCTCACTCTCCCCACCCTCCCCACTCACAACCTGCAGTCTGTCCCTGAGGTGGTGGCTACGCAGAGGATCCAGGGGGAGGAGCCTTGGTTCCAGCAAGTGGCATCTCTGCTCCCCTCCTGCCCTGCCCGGTGGCGGCGGCGTGGAACCAGTGTGGCTGGGTTTCTTGACTCGTTCTCTTCTTGTCTCCACAGGGCCATAATGTGGAGTCCTCAAGTGGAGGGGGACCCAAGGAGATTGTGAGCTTTTGCTACCCCCCACTCCCCCATATGGAGGTAACTTCCTGGACTGTGGGTTCAGTTGTTTGCTGGGCGAATCCCTTTGTCCTAAGGAAAATGTCACTAGCCTCTCAACACCTCCCTTGCCTACAGGCAGCCTGACTTGGCACTTAGAGCTGTCAGGTCATAGCAGGCTATATGACCTGGGGTCACTGGTTAACCTTTCCAGGTCTGCCCCCACCCCACCCCCGCCACCCCCGCCATCTTCAATGGGGACCTGCCCTAGCGTTCTGGTCTTGTTCATTTCCTAGGTTGGACACTGGGGTCTAATAAGAACAGCAGGGAGAGGACTCTGTAAACGGCAGAGCACCAAGCTCAGAGAGTCGTCCTTAGGCATACAAGCTACGGACCCAAATGATATCTGGTCTGGGCGAATTTCCAGACAAATCCCTAATGTTCATGGTCAGATTAGAAAATCATCTTCTGGAGAGGACTTGAATGGGGGCAGGCACTTCAAGGGGTGAGCGGGTGAATGAGAGACGAGGTGTGGGCAGGTTAGACTGTCCGTGTGGCAGAGCTCAGGCTCCAGTAAAAGGCATGAAGGAACATTAAGTCCCTGTGGCTACCAAGCAAAACACATCTGCTGCCCAGCTCTGGTTCAAGGCCTGTCGGTGTAAGACAGGTACGGAAGTGGGGGAGGGGAGGGAGATCTGGTCTTAACAAGGCTACACTGGCCACGGACATAACTGTCCTGAAAAGAGGGTTGCCATGTGGTGGTCGTTCCCGGGTTCAACCTGGACTAAAAATGGCTTGTGTCACTATCAGGCTTATTTATTCCTTCCATACGAACACTCGTCCAGGCCTGTGCGTGCTTCTGGGACTCTCAAGCTGAATCAAACATTCTCTGACCACCAGGTGAGGCTAGGCATGGGTGTAGAAGACAGCACATCCTTTCTTGGGGGTGGGGGTGTCTGTGGAATGGCATCCCAATGAGATAATGGGCATCCCACGGTCAGTCAAGCACAGAACGAATGCTCCTTGTTAAACAAAGTCCAGCATATTGCACGATGCAGGACTCATCAGAGCCTTTACCGTGCTCACATACATCAATCACACAGTAAGGCGCTTCAAAGCGCCTGGGTCTGTCGGGGTCTCTAAGGACTCTGAGTGTGCCAGTCTGTACTGAGGTCTGACGAAGCAGCCGATGTGGGCCCCTTTGGAGAAGTGTGGCTAGGTGAAGGGTCTGGCTACATGCAGGCCCAGGGGCTTCTTCGCAGGAGGCCTCCCGCTGTGGGTGTTGTGGGAGAGGCAGCAGCTCCCTTCACTGTCTGCTTAGGCCACGGAGGGGTGATCTCAGGGTTGGGGAGCTTGAAGGGTTCAACCCCAGAGTTCCCTGGTCGCATTTGCATCTGGGAGACTCTGTGTTGATGAGAGGGATCCACCCAGAGGACGCAGAGGAGGAGCAACAGGGCTCCAGACATCCCACGTCCCTGTCAGGTTCACGGTTCTGTGGCCAGCGAAGGAGAGAAATCAATTCCAGGTCTGTAAGCATCTTTAGCAGGGCTCGCCTTCCTGCCCCACAGCTGCGAGCCTCAGACACAGGCCGGCCGCGACACTGCCGGCTTTGTTCACAGCCAAGGCTAGCTCGCTTCCATGAATAAAATTTAGAGGTTCAGACCTGAAAGCCAACTGCTCCCTCTCTCTCTCTCTTCCCAGCTCTCCACTCATTGTCTGCAGCTCTCCTCTCTCTCTCTCTCTCTCTCTCTCTCTCTCTCTCTCTCTCTCTCTCTCTCTCTCCCTCCCTCAGTTTGGGAATTGATACCTCTTTGTTCTGGAAATCTCCAGCACCACACCGGGTTGAGGCTTGTCCTTGACCCAGAATCAGGGTGGGAGCACAAAGAAAACAAGGGCCGGGCCACCTGGTCATGCACAGAGCTTGTCTCCAAGAACCAACTTCTGGGATGAATCATGACATGTTTCAAAACTGCCTCCCAGGTACCCGGCTGAGTCTGCTGAGCACCATCTCAGCCCAGATGGAAGTCTGTTCCCCATGGTGCAAAGAGAGAAAACCCACTTCTGTGAGGAGTGGAATTGTGTGTGAGGACCTGGGCAGGGAGGCGGGAAAGTATGCCTGGGAAGAATTGGAGAAGGCTGGAAGCGAGGAACAGAGGGACATCTAAGACCATCTGTGGAAACCCCTGTCTATATGCTCTGCTCAGCCCCGCTTCCGTTTTTATCTGCTAATTGAGGCCGGCCTCCGTGGTCCTGGGAAGTCACGGGGGCTTTCCAGAGGCCACACAGCGCATGTCTGTCTGCCACTGGTTTAGGATCTGTCTACACTGCCTCTGGGATGGATCCGAGGGATCTTGATGGGGGAGGGGCTGGCAGGAGAGAGAAGTTTGATTTGAAGGATGAGCAGAAGGTGCTTGCTGCTGCCCATCTTGGTGACAGAAGGGGAGGGGGGGCTTCCCCACAACCAGCCTTGGGGATTTCTCTCCCACTTTGTCCTCTCTCTCTCTGGCAACGGGGGTATGTGCGTTTAGAGGAGACACAAGCCAGCAGTCCGGAATCGCACTCCCGAATAAGGAAGAAGATTGCCGGGAACTCCCTCCCCCACAGGCCGCAGGGCAGGCTCCAGGCCTCCTGACCCTGGGGATCTACAGTGGGTTGCTGGGCTGCCTGGTTCCAGGGCAAGCCTGTCGTAGCTCAGAGTGGAGGAGGTCAATAACCCACAGCCCTCTGGCTCCCGCCAGCCAATACACGGAAACGTCCTGGCTAGAGCCAAGGCTGACTGTCAAGCTAGCCTGTCTATGGCCTGTGTGCTACTTCAGGCAGGTTTGAATCTGCTCAGACAACCAGGACAAAGTCTTCCCTTTGCTGGGTCAAATGGTAGCCAACTTCATCAAAACCAATCTCCAAGCTGTCCCCAGTTTTCCCACACAAAAGGCGAAGGCAACAGACTGTCTTTTGGCTTTGCAGATGTCAGAACAATGATTGGATCTGGAGAGAAGGGGGTCAAGGTCTCATCTTGACCATAGTCAGGTCTTTATAATCCCAGCAGGACCAACACAAAGCAGATCTTCAAGGCCAATGGGTGACCTTCAGGGAGGAGCCATGCAGGAGAATGCCTCGTCCCCGAGCAGCTCCGAGTTACCACTTTCCTAGAGACTTACCAAATCCAACATTTCCAGAGCAGGATGTCACACTGGCACTGGCCACATTTCTGTCACTGTGACACAAGGCCAGACAGAGACCACTGAGTAGAGGAAGGCTTGCTTCGGATCATAGTCAAAGGGATTTGGGTCCACACGGTGGGAAAGGCATGGCAGTGTCGTGGTCACCCGTGGCGACAAAGCATGAGGAAGCATTGTTCACACTGTGGAGGACCAGAAAACAGAGAGAGCAGGGGACCGGGGTGGGTCGAACCTTCAAAGGCCTGCTCTTAGTGACTCCCACCACCCAGGTCTCATCCCTTAAAGGCTCCACAGCCTCCAAAAACAATGTCTCAAGCTGGGGGTAAAACATTCCAAACAAGACCCTGAGTGGGACATTTCATATTCAAATCGTAGCAGACAAAAATAGGTGTGAGACATGGAGAAAGACAATTTTCAAAATAAAATAAAGTGAGGAAAGAGATATGTGGAGGAAAATTCATTTCTTTTTATTCCCCGTCCCCCCAGCCATGTGTGTGTGTGTGTGTGTGTGTGTGTGTGTGTGTGTGTGTGTGTGTGTGTGAACATTTACACATGTGTGGATGGACATGTGGAGGACTGAGGTTGATGTCTGGTATCATCCTCATCCTTCCACCTTGTTTCATTGAGGCAAGGTCTTTTAATCAAAAGCAGAGCTCACTGATGTGACTGGTCTCATGAGCCAGCTCACTCTGGGGATTCCATCTGACTTCTGAGGCTAGAATTACAGGAGGGCCACCTTGTTCCCCCATATTTACATGGGTCCCAGAGTCTGAAATCCAGTGTTCATGTTAGTACAGCAAGCATGTTAACTGAGCCATCTCCCTAGCCCTTGTTTAACAAAGGCTCATGGTGAGGATGCCCAGGAATAGAGGACTTCCCTAGACTCAGGAATCTTAAAGCCATTGTTCCAGCAGGGCACTTTGGTGAACCAGGTCTTCCTGGAACCCATTACTGGACGCTCATTTTCATCATATACCTGCCTACCTTTGTAAGAGCTGTCATTCATCAGAGATGGAAAAGGAGGCCAGGCTGGGTGTTTAGCTTAGTAGCAGAGCACTTGCTTAGCATGCATAGGCCCTGGGTTCAATCCCCAGCACTGCCACAAAATAAATAAAAAGTAATTAAGGCTGGGTGGTGGCGGGTTTAATCCCAGCACTCGGGAGGCAGAGGCAGGCAGATCTCTGTGAGTTCGAGGTCAGCCTGGAAAGGCACAAAGCTACACAGAGAAACCCTGTCTCGAAAAACAAAGCAAAGCAAACAAACAAAAAAAGTAATTAAAAAAAAAAAAGACCCATAAAACCAACACACACACACAGTTGCAGAATGAGGCTGAAGAGAGCTTGGTGGGTAACTGCCAATGATAGCCACAAGGTTTCTAGAGTGCACCAGAGGCTGGAGACTCTGTTGGTTGGTGTCTCTTTGCGTGCTCTCTCTCCAGCCTCTTCTTTCCATAGGCACCTCAGTCATGTTTCACTTAAGGTCAGCTTTGACTATACGTGATGACTCTAGAATCGTGACGTAAGCTAGCTAAAAGTCGGTTTTCACCTGTACAGACAGACAGTTTCAGACCTGGCATCAGAGCCCCAGGCTCCTTTGGTCTTGTTTGCCCCCAGATGGTCTCATTACCAAAGCAGGAGAGCTGCTGGAGCTCTGGTCATCGCATCTGAGAGGGGAGACGGAAGCAGCCTCTCTCCTTTGCCGAGTTCCCACAGTTTTTCTGCTTCTGTATCATTGGTCAGAACTTGGACACATGCTTGTGAGGAAAGCTGAGGGATGTGTCAACTGGGCAGCCATAACCTCATCTCATGAAGGACAGAGGACAGGCCCATTGGCTCAAGATGGTCCAGGCCGACACTGCTGAGTTCTGACCCAGAGTGTTTCGTTTTGCAGCTAGAGAGAAGATTCTTTTTCTTCCGCAGTTGTT